GCTGGCGGGGTAGCCCCCACCATCGGCAGTGCAGAGTTCGGGAGGGGGTACTCAATGCCAGAATCAGATATGGGGATGGTCAGTCCCAGCCCCAAGAAGCAAAGAGAGGATGGGTTGGGTGAGCTCTGCTGGGGGAGGGGGGGGAGACAGCTTGGGCAAACCGACCCCCAGGCTGTATTATTTTAAAAAATATGGTAACCTGGGAAGGGAGAGGGATGGCTGTCAGGGTCTTTGCTTCTTGTTTATGTCTCTGGAGTTTGTGTTTCCTTTCTCCCTAGCTTCTTCCCAGCCCCAAGAAGCAAAGAGAGGATGGGTTGGGTGAGCTCTGCTGGGGGAGGGGGGGGAGACAGCTTGGGCAAACCGACCCCCAGGCTGTATTATTTTAAAAAATATGGTAACCTGGGAAGGGAGAGGGATGGCTGTCAGGGTCTTTGCTTCTTGTTTATGTCTCTGGAGTTTGTGTTTCCTTTCTCCCTAGCTTCTTTTTTCCATGCGTCCTCTGGTGGCGGTTTGCATTACCGCGCCTTACCAGAAACGGCAGCTAATGCTGGTTTGCTGTCCTCTGCGATTAATGTGCATTAATTTTTTTAACGTGTTAATTCTGTCCTGCATTAATTGTAGGTGTTAACGCCCACTAATTGACAGCCCTAATTTTTATTCTAAAACGTGTTAGGTACAGCAGGCCTCCTTTCTGCAAAATCAACCTCCTTCTTCCGTGTATTTTTTGTGGTATTTTCTGTAGTATTTTGGGGGACTAGGAGTTGCATTTCAGGATCCTCAGAATGCAATAATTGTAGGAGACTTTTTTAAAACCAGCTTTAGTTAATCAGTGATAACTAAATCCAACAGTGCTGCAGAGGATAATTACACTTTTTGAAAGGGGTGGGGTGGGTTTGGTAATCAGGGGCGGCCCTAGACTAGCTGCCAGCAACTGGTGCCCTAGGCGAACCATGCAATCGGTGCCCCTCCTCCCCCAACCCCAAGGGCAGATATCGACTGAGGGTTTTGGTTCTGTGCTGGGGAGAGGGAGACTGGGGATGAAATTTTGTGGCTGGGGGCCGAGGGGAGGGGGAGCTGGGGGCCAGAGGGTTGGGGATGGAGTTGGGAGTTCTGGGGCTGGTAGCCGAAGGGCTAGGGATGGAGTTCTGTGGTTGGTGGCTGGGGATGGAGTTTTATGGCTGGAGACCTGTAGTAAGTATATTTAGTCTTCAGATTTGGCTTGACTTTAAATCTTAATGAGATATACTAGACAAGCTAAGTTTGAAAGTAACACATACCAATCCTATCCAGGGCTAATAGCACAATGCTAATGAAATATCACTTTCAATACTGCATGTGGTTTTTAATCACCTCACAAATAATAGGAAACATTTCTTTTGTTCAGGTAGATCTATAAAGTTCTGGTTGAATTTATAGTATTCAAATTGACAGAGAAGAGGCTTCTCCTCTGCAAATTGGAACAGACTCCGCTTTAAAGTTGCTCAGTTAGGGTGAATCTAGACTACAGGGTTAAACTTCAGCTACATCCACACTGCAATCACGCTCTTTCAAAATAAAATTGAAAGAATGCAGGGTTTTTCTGACATTGGTAAACCTCATTCCCCACCCCGACAGCACAGGGGAAACCCCCCTACGAGCTGCCTCTCCCAGAGACCCTAGAGGTTTTTCGCCTTCCTCTGTAGCATGGGGTACAGATCACAGCTGGAGGATTCTCTGCATCTGGGGTCTTTAAAGTATTTGAAGGCTTCAATATCTGAGATATAGGTGAGGATTATTCTAGGAGGGGTGGGTGAGATTCTGTGGCCTGCATTGTGCAGGGGGTCAGACTAGATGATCATAATGGTCCCTTCTGACCTTAAAGTCTGATCTCCCAGGACTTAACCCCCTCCTGGCCTCAGGGAAGCCGTGCTCCAGGTAAGGCATGGGAAATGGAAGGGGCAGGGGTTGGAATTTGGCGCCCTAGGCAGCTGCCTAGTTTGCCTATAGGCACGGGTCGCCCCTGTTGGTAATGCTGTCTTTCAAACTGAATGAGTAATTTTACTGTAACTTTGGCAGCTAAGTTAATATTGTCATGTTACATTCAGCACATTGAGCACTATTCTTAAGTATAGTGGACTTTGCAGGGTCAGCCACCACCTAGACCTCTGCAGCCTCAACCAGAACCTCCAGCAGAGGGAAAACTAGTTGGTCGTGGACGACTAAGAGGAGCTGCTGTTCCAAAATCACAAGGTGAGATGGTTGGACAAGTAGGATGACTTAATGATTTAACTTAGATAATTAAATATATGTTAAAGATTGCATTACTGATTTTTCTTCAAAATCAGAGTAACTAGTTAAATCTGAAATAATGAAAATTTTTCTTATGCCATCTCATAATAGCACTTCTCCTCTAAACAGCCTGAACTTTGATGGAACTAGATAAAGAAATTTTACCATTGGGTCCTGTTTATTCTATAAGTAGGCTCTAGATGTCCTTGTTGTCATAGAATTAATAGTCCTGAGTGTATCTTTTTACTTGTGGCAAGTGGTGCAGTTTGAAAGTTCTGTATAAGAAGCTATTTTTCAGAGCACATGGTTTTCATTGGTTTTGCCAGATAAGGATTGATGTTAAACAAGCAGACTGGAATTTTTTATGATTCGGAAATGGAATATATTTACATACTTGTTTTACCTGTTCCATTTTTTCTAATTTGAATTATTGGTTAATATTAGGGCTGTCAAATGATTACAATTAATGATGATTGATTAATAGATTAAAAATAGTTGTAATTTGCATTTTTAATTGATCTGGAGCATGTTGGCTATAGTGGGTCCATGGAGTGGTGGGAAAGGAGGGTGGAGCAGGATGACAGGAGGAAGGGCACCCCGCCTGCAGCATTGCATTGTGGGTGGTGGCCTCAGTTCCCTGTCAGCTGCACAATTGTGCAGCTATTTATTAAGTCCTGCTCACAGGCTCAGAGCTCCTGTCCAGACAGGGAGCTCAGCTGACCACTGTGGGGAGGAACTGTCTGAGCAGCTTCAAACAGAGCTTCCTGTTTCAGGCAAAAGAGCTCAAAATCCAGGTAAGGAGGGGAGATGATGATGAGGTGGGAAGGTGGGAATACGTTGCTGAGGGGGGAAGTTGTAAAATAAGGGCATTTGGGAAGAGGACGTAGAGACAAACCAAGCATTCTCTACAAGCCTTCTGGGCTGGAAAGGTGGGTGGGGAACAAGCTGACTGCATTGGGTGGGTGGGGAGTGGGCAATGAGGTGAGTGCCTTACACTAACTCTTAGCTGGTCTGCTGTTGCCTGAAAGTCTGAAAAGTAAGATTTTTTTTTTTTTTTTATCCTAGCCCCCAGCTGGGCTGGGGGGTGCAGATTGTACAGGGTTAGGTGGGGGAAAAGGAATAGGTGGGCGTTGGCATCCATTCAATGAGTTGGAGGCAGGGGGTAGTTTGGGGTGTCGTGACTCACTTGCTGCAGTCCTCTCTTTGCGGCTTAGTTGGAGGGAGGGGAGTAAAGCAAGCTGTGGGGTGGGGGATGTATGTGCCAGGAAGTTTTCTTGATTTCAAACTAAGTTTCCAGAGGTGTTAATGGCTTAAGGCAAGAAAGAAAAAAAAGATTATTTTAACAGAATTTTTTGGAGTGTTGCAGAGTTTTAGATATTTGATCTCAATTTTTAAAATCCCGTGTTTCAGGCCAGATATTTGCTATGTGGTTGAGTTCTGGCTTTTATGAGTCAGAAGTAGAAAGTAGTAGGTGTGATAGTAATTGTTTTGTAGGTTGAAACCTTATTTGCAAGCTCTTTGAATCATGTGTCTGTCTACAAACTCTGATGTCTACAAACTCTGTTTGCTCTGGGGTTTCTACTCTTCAAGTTGGTGACACACACAAAGTGAGTTTCAAACTAGGAGTATTTTTTTTTGTTTTTACAGATCTGTTTAATTTGTTCTTGTATAACACAGATCCAAAACATTCTCCAAATGGCATAAGCTTGAGGGAATGCCTTTTACTCTCCAGTATCAGTAAATATTGCATTAGTATTTGCGAGGAGAACATGATTACTTCTAGTTGACTCTTAAAATGACAGACAAATCTCAAACTGAGCTATGTGTGGATAATATGCATTTTGGCGTGTTTACTAGCTTGAGCTGTAAGAAAAGATGATACGTGTACTCCAAGCATGGTGTTAGGTTTTTTTTATTTAATTAATATCAAATATTGTAAACATTGCTCCTATCCGTTTGTTAGTTGTTGAACTAACATTATTAACTATCCCTTGTTTTAATGTCTTCCATACCTACGCACTACTTAAAAAAAAAAATACAGGCTTTTTGTTTGTATTGGTGGTGCACATCCACATACTACTTCATTATTGGTATGGTGCACAACCCACCCAAAAGAAAATTCAACCTGTATAAGAATACAAAATATTAAAGGGAACATGGGGGGATGGCTGGTCCTGTCCAGCAGTGAGTGTCAGCCGACGGTCAGGGCTCCCTATATCTGTCCCTTAAGACTGGCTGAAGTTCTTTTAAATTGTGCCTGGTTCTGTTACAGCAACTGAAGGAGTCAGGTTAAAACTTAAACAGTTACAGGTTTATTAAAGAAGCTTATAAATCATATGGTTGCAATGGCTATTGTTCTATTTCTTAACTACTAGCAAAATATAGATCTTAAAAATGGTTACAAAGAAGATAAAGATAGAAAAATAGAAATAATGGTACCAAGTAACAGCTTACTCTTTCTATGTGTACACTTAAGACAGAGGACCACATCCAGGTACAATTTTTACCCCCTTCTGTGCCTCTCGACTCCAGCATGTCAGGCCAGGGCCGGTCCCTCAATTCCTAGGAAAGACGAAAATACGAGGTGGGCGTCCCCATAGAACCTCGGGAGGTCAAACACCTAACCCGACCAGCAGGTAGAGGGTAGAATGACACTCAAAGTGAGTGTGTGCTGGGCCCATCTTTTATAATCATGAGGTCACGTATTTCTCTTTCTTATCTGTAATGCCAATTGGTGCTGGTCTGTCTGCTGTGAGACCAGTTCTTACAAGGGAGTTGTGAACTTAATTTACACTTGTAAGAGAGAATTGAGATGATTAAATTGTTGTGAACTTAATTTACACTTGTAAGAGAGATAACTAAATTGGAATTACTGGGGATTCTTTTCTCAGTGGGAAATTCCTCTTCCAGGGACTGTGTGTGTGTGTGTTCGAATCAACATAGGTGCCAGCCGGTGGCAGTCTCGCATATCCTGATCTCTCCTCATATCTATGTTTCAGCTTCTCAGGATCAGATGAGCCAGCATAGACTATGCTGATTTTACTGCTCCTTCTCTGCCCTGTATGCTTCAGAGAGGCAAATAAGATGGATGTGATGGAGGCGGGCTGTCTGGCCACAGTGAGGGGATGTTTCAAGCAGTGGGGAAGAGAGAAGCTGGGCTTCTCTTTCTTTTCCCAGTGGATGTTTAGTTGGCTTTCTCAAATTATCTGCACACTGGGATAGGGTCATGATCAATTAGTGCAGCATGAACAGGTCAGGAGGGATTTAGGGAGTAGGGATGTTAGTGCATATTTGTTTACATGATTAACTAATAATTTTGGGCTTATCGGTCTATAGTCCTAATGATTGTACACACAGAGGCATCAGCGTAGAGGTTGGGCAGGTGGGAGCCTGTACTTGTAGGAAGCAGGCTTTTAAGCCAGCTCCACATGAGCAGACTCCTGCAGCATCACCTCCCCCTCCCCTGCCTTGCTGCCTCTGATAAAGAGGCAGCAGCCTGGAGAGGGGACCAGGCCGGAGCTGGTGCTAGCCGGGAGTTGGCTTTTAAGCACTGGCTCTGGCCTCTTGCCACGTAAATGTGTAACCATTACATTTTCAAACCAGTTACATGTTTACACCAAAAAAGTTAACATCCCTATTGTTTATAGCAGGGGTTCCCAAACTTTTTGACATGGGGACCAGTAAATCCATTCATGAACTTTTGGAGGACCGGTAATGTTCATTTGCATATTCATTAATCAAATGATTAATATTCAAATAAGTTGTTTCTGGTCCTCCCAAAACCCCCAGTGCCAGCTTTAGCAAAGCTTTTGATATGGTCTCCCACAATATTTTTGCCAGAAAGTTAAGGAATATGGATTGGATAAATGGACTGTAAGACAGACAGAAAGCTGGTGAGACCAGGGTTTCTCAGACTTTTTACTTTAGTTGGAACCCTTTTTTTCAGTACTGTTTTTTGCAGCTTAAAAATATAAACACATAATAAACAAACTGAGAAAATACCAGACATGTAACATGTATGGTATTTTTTCATTAGGTAAGTTTTATTATTAGTAGATGTATCAGTTTGTACTTTCGAACGGTCTGGCTGGTAAATGTGCTCAGGTTGCATGAGTGTGTCTACCAGCCAGACAGTTTGCAACTACTTGAGGGTGTGTGGGGGGGGGGGGGAACAAA